ATTTTAGAAGTCAGTTTTATGTTTTTCTTTCCCTCCTTGGCAGTGCCCATACTTGAACACAGTTCACAAGTATTCGAGGCAGGTACTTCACCCCTAGGCACCATCCTCAGGCAAAGTGTTTACTCTTTCCTACTTATTTTTGGGACAGGGTCTCACATAGCCTATGATGGCCTATAATTTACTATGTAGCAAAGGATGACCATAATCAAATTTACTCCTTTGCGCAATTTCCGGAGGGCTGGTATTGAAGGCATGTAACTCTGTGCCAATTTATGTAATGCTGGAGAGGGCATCAGGCCTTTATGGACAACTGGCAAATATTCAACTAATTGAGTCACATGAACTCCTGCCTTTTTCTTTAGTTAGCAAAATTTTAGTGGTTAGGATTTTCTTCAGTCACAAAGCAGGAACCTCGGTGTAATTGTTCACAATTTTACTTGTAAGATTTTGTTTTGTGGTTCAATAAAGGTATTTCAATTATTTACTCAGAAAGATATTTCAATAAATACATTATAGTTCCTACAGAAAATAGTAAGTACCATGATTGATACAAAGGACACATGATTGAAGACAGGAGTGCATTCTCTCATAGCTTATAGAAGACACAAAACATGCCCATAGTTATAAAATTCATCATGACAGAAATGAGGGTAGGTATTTATGTAAAGTAGGATAAATTAAGAACGCATTCTAATATTATTTGGTTCAGGATTCAGCAATCATTATCTCATTTCAAATTAAGTTTACAAGTCTGAGATAAAAAGACAAGATCATCTCCACTTGGCAGATAAAAACAAATAATAAAAAAAAACTAAGGCCAAATGAGATGCACATTACCCTTGATAATTCTAATGATTAAACTCAACACCTCATATCAAAGATTTATCTTGGATCTGGAAGGAATTGGAAAGTTATACTTAGAGGGAAAAAAAAGATGAGTGAGAAAAAAGTAATAGGAAAATGAATGTGTGAGCCAAAGGTCTAAGAAGCTTAATTAGGAAGTAGAAAATGTGAGAGAGTTTTCTCCTGTTTAACTGCAGTGGGCATCAAGCTTGCTTTGGGAGGAGTGTAACAAACAGATGGTGGTGAGCAAATGCAGACAGACAGAATTGAGATGTTTAAGTGTGGATGCAGGATGCTCAACACTGCTCCATAAAGGAAGATATTAGAAAACTGGGGAAGAAGACAAAATCATCCTAAAATTATAAAAGGATTTGTCCTGAAAGTAAAAAGAGAAGGGAAAGCTTTTAACTGTCTAAAATGGAAAGCAACTGCCATAATTAAGAAAATCCATACAGCGGTGGCTTTTAACCTCTGACTTTAGGAAAATTAGAAGAACTCTTGGTCCCACATGACTGCAATTTCAGCACTCTGAAAGCAGGATCAGATCAACCACTCCTGACTATTTTCTGAGACATTGTCTTAAAACAGCAACAACAAGAAGAAAATTCCAGCTTTACTTAAACAAGTGAACTCAGGGGTAGAACCAGCCTATAATTGTAAAATCTGTCTAGAGAAGCAGAAACCGCCAACAGGGTTAAGATTTGAGCTATGGGTGCGAATGAGATCATCACTTGGCAGAACAAGAGAATTCCTTGCAGCACAATGTGGAGTCAGCAATGTGGAGTGAATAGGCCCTATATGGGAGGAAAAACTAGATACTACAAGACCTAAAAGGCCAAGGAGAATAGAATTCAAATAGAAAGGCCCCTCAATGGGCCATCTGTTCAGGCACAATTAGGATGTAGACTGAAAGAAGGTTTCAGGTAGACTGGTAGGTAAGCTACCTGATGACTGAAGAATTACCTTTAAGAATGTGCTCAAGATCATGTTACAGCTGATTAAGAGAATGGATGCTGCAAAGAGAATTAGCCCATGTGAAAGGGTCTTCAGAAAAGAAGTGGTCTGGAATCGGAGAAAGAAAGAAGGCAGACTGAAGGAATTTGATCTTTTACACTATCGCAGGCAGACCTGGGAACATTTTAAGCTGAAGAAGCAAGAGTACTGAGAGAGGGTCAGGATGCAGGAGAAAGGAAAGGTAGGGGAAGCAGACAAGTCAAAACAACAAGAGACAAATTGTGGGAACAGTGCTCGATTTGACAGAAGGAGTGTTATTCTTGGACAATAAAATTAAGTAGAAATTATTACTGAATCAGAATTCACTGAAAACTGGGAGAGAAGGTCATATTAAAAATTAAAAGTGGGGTGGTACAAAAATTACTGGGGTGTTTTTGTGAAAACTTTGGAAATGTCATCAGGCACACACACACACACACACACACACACACACACACAGAGAGGGGGGGAGGGAGGGAGGGAGGGATGGAGACAGAGACAGAGACAGAGACAGAGAGACAGAAACAGAGAAAAAGATGTCAGAGTATCTGATGGTACTGAGGACACAACTGAAATGCATTTTAAATTTTAACACAGATTTTGAGAGACATCTTTCAATAAGTTCTGGACATACAGAAAGGGCTATAGCATGGATATGGAAAAAATATATATGTCATGCTGGATTTTGACAGAAGCAAAAGCAGGAGGTCCATATATTCCAAAGTTCTTTACATGAGTAGTAAATCATGTCATGTTATAACAACAGTCATACCTGGAAGTTAATTTATAGAAGTAGAATAAAAAGGACATGAGAATCCTGGCTGTACTGCCTCTAATGGAATATTAGAGAAATATGTCAGATATTATGAATAAAACATAATGCCCCAGAGAATGGAGGAAGGAGGAAGGACAGTGAACACCAAGTGTTTAAATATATGTTAAGCTACAAAGCTATAAAATTTATAAAGTATTTGTAGTCTTATTTCCATAGGTAAGTAAATAGAATACCCTGAAGGAAATAATGTGCTAAACATTCAAGGAAAATATTTTCAGATCTGTTTTTGCAAGCATTTTCCAGGAAATTTTCAATAAATGACTACTCTTTTGTTATATAATTTTTTTCATTTTACATACCAAGGACCCACTCCCCCTCCCTCCCCTTCTCTTATCCCTTCTCCTCCCCACTTCCCTCCCCTATGGGGATCCACTCCTCAGAGGGTTAAGGACTTCCTTGGGAAGTCAACAAAATCTGGCATACCAAATTGAGGTAGGGCATGCCCCCTGTTTCAAGGATGAGCAAGGTATCCCACCTAGTGAAATGGACTCAAAAAAGCCAGTTCATGCCCCTGGGATATATACGTCCTGGTGCCACTGCCAAGGACCTCCCCCAGCAGATCAAGTCACATAACTGTCAATCACATTCAGAGGGTCTAGTTCTGTCCCATGCAGGTTCCCCAACGGTCAATCTGTAGTCCTTGAGCTCCCACTAGTTTGGGTCAACTGTCTCTGGGGTTTTCCCCATCATGATCTCGATCCCTCTTGTTCATATGATCCCTCCTCCCTCTCTTCAACTGAACTCCAGGAGCTCAGCCAGTACTTGGCTGTGGGTCTCTTCATCTGCTTCCATCAGTTACTGGATGTAGGTTCTATGATGACAATCAGGGCAGTCACTAATCTGATTAAAGGGGAAGGTCTGTTTAGCCATCATCTCCATCACTTCTGGGAGCCTTAGCTGGGGTCATCTTTGTGGATTCCACAAGTAAAATCAGTGGAATATCTGCTGGACAGAGTCTCACAGCTGTTGTTGGTTTTTTAGTATCTGGATTTTCCAATTCTTATTATCAAACAGAAAGACCTGATAAGGTCTGACTTCCTAACACTGCAGAATCAAGAACTTTAGTGTCCCTTAAACTTCCCAGATTTAGGTGGACGGCGTACATGCTAGACTGTGGGTTTCCTGGGGGACAGAATAATCCTTAACAGGTAAATTCTAGTGAAAGAAGTTAGACAATTGTGGACAAACCATTGAAGGGAATACTGGGACGGCAGCCTTTCCTCTCTTGTATCCTTTCTTGCTACCATGATGTGATCAACCTTCTCTAATGCCTGTTCTTGCCAGAGTGTATCCCCTTTTCTAAAAGTAAAAGGAATGGGATATGGACTAAAGCTATGGAACTCTAAGGCCAAGATGAAGTTTTTGTTTTGTTTTTTTTGTTTTGTTTTGTTTTTTTGGTTTTTTTTTTTTTTTTGGTTTTTTGAGACAGGGTTTCTCTGTGGCTTTGGAGGCTGTCCTGGAACTCGCTCTGTAGACCAGGCTGGTCTCGAACTCACAGAGATCCTCCTGCCTCTGTCTCCCGAGTGCTGGGATTAAAGGCGTGTGCCACCAACGCCCGGCCAAGATGAAGTTTTTAAGTATATTATTTAGATATCTATTTTTACACTGACAGACAGCTCTCTCTCTCTCTCTCTCTCACACACACACACACACAATCAAAACAGTAATGAGTAATTCCCTAAAGATAATGCTATTCAAAACTTCTGTAGCTACCAAATCCCTTTTCTACTGTTGTTATACCTAAAAAAAATCTACTGAAACAGTGTTCTGTGAATTGCTTCAGTTCAAATCAAATTATATCATCCTTTATTATTTTCTCAGATTAATTAAGTAGTAATGAAATTAATGTAGAAAATTTTGCTAACTTCATATTAAGTATCCAGCTAATTCCTATTTTACTCTTTACTCAGTAGGTAAAGTTTCTATGCCAGCATGAGTGAACTTATATGAACTGAATCATATTCATTTCTTGCCATTCAATGAATATTGACTAAGACTTCACGAAAAGCATTAACTAAAACAGAGACAATCATCGTCTATAGGACTTATCTTGAATTTATATAGATATTATCTTATAAAGAATAGAACAGTAGTAATAATTCAGGAAAAGAAAATACAAATAGACAATTCAAATATATATACATATATTTTTTCTTCTATAAACACTATAGATACATTCATACACGTGTATGAGTTACATGTCATTCTAAGTTAATCACTAAAATTATAGCATATAAATATTTTTTTCAGTTTAAAAAGTAGCAACTTCATTTCAGTCAAGATGACGTCTGAATCTGCCTAAAATCAGCATGCTCATCTTTTATAATAGGTGAATCTGCCTAATGGAAAGCTAATTCCTGGGTTGAAAACAGCATGAAGAAAGAAAATAAATATATATATTGTTTAGAAACATGTAAGTTATTCTGTTATTTTCCCTTTCTTACTTCCTTGCATCTTATATATGGTGAGGAGTTCCATAGGTTAATAGTGTATAGCCTAAAATGCAGTGAATTGAAGGTATGTAACTAGGCTGTGGGGTGCCTTTATAGATGCAGACTTATGTTCCTAAGTGTTGGGAGGTGAGACATAAAGCAGTTTTACTCCCAGAATCTAACAAAATGAAGGGTTTAGATCCAGTTATGTAAACTGAATTACATGGAGATTTTATGCAAGTCCTCAATAGCAAAAAAGTAAAAAAGGTGTTCAGTAACCATTTTTATTTTTCCATGAAACTCTCTTAAAAGAGTGAGACAGAGAGTTCAGTCTTCAGTGTAAATATTGAATATGCTTTATGCAATCCATAATTCTCTGGTAGAAAGAGAATTTGATGTCATGGAGATTTTCAGTCAGAATTTGTAGACTGACTTCTAAATTGAGTTATGCCTAGGTGAAGCCAACTTGTTTCAAATGGCAAACAGTCCTTCTGAGTGTCTTGTTCCACAAATGACATACTTCCCTGTGTGAAACACAAACATTTTAAGCTAATTTTGTTGAGTATGAAAGCAACCTCTGAAAGACTTAGTAATGTTTGGTGTTGTTTCTTGGAAGTCAATCTTAGTGAAAATAAAACAAAGAAGTAAAAGTTAACTTGCCACAGTGGAGAAAAAGTTTTCTCACAGATGTGCCAAACTGAAAATAGAAAAAAAAAACTATCAAAATCTCTCTGAGAGGAAATGGAAATTTCCCACAGATAAACAGCTGCTTTTAGAAACAATGGGGGAGAATATTTGGAAAGCAATGGAGCACAGGAAGCAAATCAAAGCATATTTAACCTTTACATATAATATATAATATGAGGTCATAGAATTTCTCAAGCAATGTCTCCTTAAGTTAGAAAAATGAAACTAAGTTATCAATTTTGATCTAAGTGATTATTTAGAGGACTTTGCTTAGGACACAGCTCTATGTGGCTACGAATACAAATTAATAAATGTTTTATGGACCATAAATGTTACCATTTAAGTTATATACATGGATAAATTTATATGAAGTTACCTAATGCGTATTAGTTATTTGTTGACACATAGAAAATTACCTTTAGTTATGGAAGCCCAAATATAATCTAGTGACCCCATAGCTTCTGTTGTTCAGAAACCTAGAAACAGTCAGGGTTTTCATCAGAAGACATCTCAAGATGGTAATCATGCTCTTATCTAAGGAGGCAGTCCTATTTCAATTTTCAGTTTGGGGAGGATTCTATCTCCAGATCACTAATTGCCAAGAACAAAAAACAGTAGAATTTACAAACCTAATTTAGACTGAAACTTAAGATCTTTGAAATGATAGCAAAACTGTTCATATAGTAATATTTTGAAACATTTATAAATATTGATTACTTGATTAAAATTATAAATGATGTTATTCCATTTATTTTTGTCTTATCTTTTAAGTCCAGTGGTTCTCAACCTGTGGGTTACAACTCCTTTGGTGGTCAAATATTAGATATCTTGCATATCAGATATATGCATTATGATTCTTAACAGTAGGAAAATTACAGCTATGAAGTAGAAATGAAATAATTTTATGGTTGGGGTCACCACAGCATAAGCAACTGTATTACAAGGTCACAGATTTAGGAGGGTTGAGAACCACTGACTTAGTCATTCATTTTGGTAATTATTTCTGAGAGCTGATATGTTCCCAGGATATGAAGGTTGTTATGGTTAAGTTTTGTCAGCTTAACACAATATAGGATCACTTGGGAAAGGAATCTAAATGATGGATGGTAGATCAGGTTGGCTCATAAGTGACTGTCTTAACTGAAGACACCACACACTTGGCTGACAGGACACATATAAATCAATTTGGAACCAACCAGAATGCTTCCTCCCTCCCGGAAACCTTGCCTTGAAAGGTACTGGGGGAAGTTATCATAATGACTGACATTACAAAGAACTGAATTTATGATTCACGTTATACATATGGATAATTTTATATAAAGCTGCTGATGTGGGAGGTCCACTGTGTGTGTCACCTCGTTTGTGATCCTGTGTAAGTGTAGAGAAAGAGCCGAACACAAACAAGCATGCATTGTTTCCCTCTGCTCGTGACTATGGATGTGGTGTGACAGGCAATTTCAAGTTCCTGTCACCCAAAGGAATATAACCTGAAGTTGTACGAGAAATAAAGCCTGTCTCCCCTAAGTAGCTTTAGCTCAGGGTGTTTTGTCACAGCAATGGAAGCGAAGCTATGACAGCCGTGAACAAAACAATAACCCTATCCTCGTGCAGCATATATCATAGTGAGTGGAGACTGGAAGCAAACCAATAAACGTTGTATATGCTAGCAAGGGAAAATTTCTACAAAATATCAAGACATAATTATAGGAGAATCAATTTTGTGAACGTTTCTTTAAGCTCTCTAAATAGGCAACAATTGTGTGGAGATATCTGAAGGAAATAAATAACCAGAAATTGGAAGCAACAGAATGAATGTAGAGCATTTCAAGAAGGGAAAATGTACATTTGGAGCTGTAGGAGTTGTGGGTTAGTATGGCATGGAAATATGGTGAGGTATTTAATGACCAGAAAAGACAAACAGAAGCTTCAGTAAGACCCATCTGCTTAAGGTATGTGAAGCAGAAAAAGAGCAGGGTTCTTCAGAAGAGGGAATTCAAGGGCTTTTACTAGTCACCAGTCTATTGAGTTATCTCCCAAAGTTATTCAGTTGCATGATGATTAAGATTTGAATGAAGAGAACAGTAGCAAAGAACATGAAATTTGACAAATTTGGGATGCACTTCAATATTGTGATTAATTGTTTTCTTCCTGAAAAATTTAGTTGTTCACTATGAGTCAAATAAAACAGTTCCATGGCCACTAAATTAAATACTTGACTTGAATCCTTAATTTTGATTGAGGCAATTTTCATCGGAACAGGTTTATGTTGATATTCCTGAGAAGGGAGAATGTCTTGTATAGACCAAAAGAATTCTGAAGTGTAACTTTTGGATCATAAGATTGTTGTACTATCTGTTAGACAAACAGAAAATGCACGTCAAATAATCAAGTCATTATTGCGCACCAGGGAATACCTTGTAATGTTGGTCATTATTATAAGACAGTTAATGACTTCTCTCAGCAGTCTTCACTGTACATTCTAGGACTAAGAAAGCTACCCAGTAGGAAAGATGCCAAACTGAATTCTACATGCCATGGTACCGAAGTGTGTGGCGTCTTCAAAAATAAGGTCTTCCCAAGAGATATGTATTTTTATTGGCCAGAACTCCATGCAAGTGTGTAAAACACAACTAACAACTAACTTGTTTATAGAAAAATAAATAAATAAAATTTAAAAAGGAATTGCATTGCAAAGACAGAAAAGAGACTGTCAAAACTTTAACATCCCTGAAGCCCTCAGCATTTGTAAAATACATTTAATTCCTCAAGCATTCCCTTTCTACAAATTCTTCCTACAGGCTCGGAAGCATTCTTGCTCACAAACCGACTTCTCATGATAGGGAATATATTTATTAGTTCAAGTTTGCATATGTCCTGTTCTGTACTTCATGAAAAGAAATCCTTTATTTTTGCAGTGAGGAACATTGACAGAGGGACACTGATTGACAGGCTAGCCCTGTGTTCGAGACTAATGGTGAGTGCCTGAGATGCAGGGATACTGGGACCGGTCCAGCAGAGATTGCATGTTCTCACTCTTCTTGGGGAAAATGAGAAAGCTGAGGACAATAGTAATCAGGTAATATGACCCAGTAGCTATGCCAGAATGCAGGGATTTAGAAAGGAAACTATTTGAATATAATCTCAATAAATGAAGATGAGTTTGAAGAAGGCATTTTAGGCCAAGACAAGAACATATACCATATACAAAGACAAGACGTGAGACCCTTTAGCAATCTTATACAACAGGGAAAGAATTGTGTTGGCTGCAGTGAAGGTTGTGGGAAACGTGGGGTATAATAAAAAAAATAAGTGTACAAGCATATCAAGTCACATTGCACAGAACCCTTATACTTAGTGCTGCAGTTATGAAATTCCTGGTCTTCAGTAGAAGATCAATGACAAAGTAGGCCTTGAGTCATTTAAAGCACAGCTGGTGACCTACGAAAAGGAGGAGCTGGAGAAAAGATGATGAGTGATTATGAATAATAGGTTGGTCTTTTGTGAAATGCTTGGGATAAGAGAGAAAGGAAGGTCTGATAGGTGTTTTCAGAAGGTCATTACCTTTGAGAGAAATGTGCTGTCAGCCATGAGAGAAAGAACCCATGAGGAGGGAATGCAGACAAACCCGCATAATAATCTCACTGAAGCATATTTCTACACACTTGCAGCACTGCAGATTGAACCTAAGTAGCACCTACTAGGCCAGATCTCTTCTAGGCCATATAGCCTCCAAGTTCTGATATCCCCAGTCCCAAGAAACAGCCTTTAAATGCCTTCACCTACATCGGCAATTCTCAGCCTGTGGGTTTTGACCCCTGGGGTCTCATATCAGATATCCTGCATATCAGATATTTCAATTACGATTCATAACAGTAGCAGAATTATGAAGTGGCAATGAAATAAATTTATGGTTGGGGGGCATCACAACATGAGAAACTGTATCCAAGAGTCACAGCATTAGGACAGTTGAGAACCACTGAAGATATTCTTATGTAATTAGTTTCTAAGCTGTACCCTGTGACTTCTCCCTGGACAGCATAAGCAAGGCATGATAGCAGTATCTTTCACTCTTCTGTATCCTAAGGATTTCTTCATTTTATATTGCAACAATCTTTGGTTGATTTGATGCTCTGGGATGCCAAACTGAAGAATCTTAACTCGTGTATGTAATTGCAGACAGTAATACCAGTTGGAACTACTATAAAATTACCTGTTAATGGATACTTGGGCAGCCTAAGGAAGATAAGTGATTTTCAATTGAGCTATTTACCTACAAAATAACTAAAGTTACCCTTCACAATTCACAAAGTGTCTAAGAACTTGCTTGAATATTCACTGAGAATAATGGCTAAGCAGTCCTTTAGAATACCAAAAAATAGCTTGTGACAGTAAGGGGGGCTCAAATGTCTGGACTTTACTTGTTACCTGCTTCCAAAGTCTGGACAGCAGAGTTTTGGTGTGTTATAACATTGAATACTCTTCTTTGAAATCCTCAGATTATTGTCTCCACCCTGAACGTACATGCCTTTAAAATTTGAAGGTTTTTCTCTTCAGTAACACACGTTGGATACCTACAACAGTTTACTTTGTGAGCCAGCCACTATTTCCACAGAAACAAGTAAGGACCCTTCCCAGCAGTTTTGTATTGTAAGATTTTATTGTGGAAGATAACTGTATTCTGTCAATGGTATTCTCAGTAATTTGCTCAAAGTCATACAGACCATGAGTAATACAGACCATGAGTAATACAGAGTTGAGGTGTGGCTCCAAGTAGTTATCTCTAGAGCATACATTATGCATCTATACACGTGTAACAGATTCAGATTCTCCCTCTTGACAGTTGAGCATGTAATGTTACTGGTTTCTTCAAGACTCTCAGGAATGCAGACTAACATAGTCAGAGGCTTCCACTGAATTGTAAGAGGCTTCTTAGCTATGGGAGAAGACACATCTACATTAATTCTCATAAGTAATTTCTATTTGATCACAAACTTCCAACTTCTGACAATGTTTACTGTGTCATTTTCAATTTAAATCAATGACAGGTCATTTTCTGAAGTAGGAAGTTTGTGATAAAACTCAAATAATAATAACACTAATAAAGCATCATTAATATGTAATCTAGACAATTTTACAAAAAATAAGGGAGAATAAATCCACACTCCACATGCAATAACACGATTTTGTGCAATACTAAAATCTAGAATTTTGCACTGTGGTCTTAGAATTTTTTATTTTCCTATATATTTTAGCCCACTTGACTTACAGGAGTGAACTCCTAAACTCTCCTTAATAATGTTTTTTGACCAATACTTTCTCCTTCTTTCCAGAACCGCTTTTCTTTCTTTTTATTTTATTTTTTTAATTTTAAGTAACTTGTTTTACATGCCAATCCCAGTTCCCTCTCCCTCCCCTTCCCGTACACTCCCCCCTAGCCTCTCACCCTATTGCCATTTCCTTCCACATAGGGGATATCCAAAGTCTGTCATTTCACTCAGGGCAGGGTCCAGGCACTCCCCTAAGAGTCCAGTCTGACAGAGCATCCCTCTTTGTGTTATGGACACACGATGTCTGTTTGTATGCCAGGGATAAACACTGATCCACTGTCCAGGGCCCCATAGGTTACCCAGGCCTCCTCACTGACTCTCACATTCAGGAGGTCTGAATCAGTCCCATGCTGGCCTCCCAGCTGTTGGTCTTGGGTCCAAGGGCTCTCCCCTGTTCAGATCAGCTGTCTCTGCTGGTTTTGCCAGCCCATTCTTTGCCAATTTGCTCATCGCTTCTCTCTCTCTGTTACTGGGTTCCTTGGGTTCAGTTTTATGCCAAAATTAGATGAAATTTCTCTCATGTCACAGCTTTGTGAAAGTCTTCCTTTATTTGTGAGACAAAATGTTCCTAGTGGTATTTTGGTCGTATCATTTTCTAATAAAGAGTTGGGCTAGTGGAACTCTGAGTGGTTTTTTTTTACACCAAATGGATGGAAATATGAGTAACCTGTTCACTGAATGATGTTCAGAAAATTAAGATGACCTGTAATGCTTTAATATTCAATTATATTTGAGCATGGCTACTCTCCATAGGTAGACATCAGAAAGTAAGGAAATTAAAATAACTATAAAGAAGTAAACTAGACTCCACGATATGATGTAAAGTTCAGACTTGCTTTGTTTGCTCATTTGTAATAATAACAATTATAATGAACTAAAGTCTTCATCAATTAGATCTTTCAACCATAAGTGTACAAAATTTCCTTATAGTACATGAGCAAACAGGACCATGTCTGTGAGGAAGAAGTATGTCACAAGCCTGTTACATTCATCAGCTTTTCCTCTGTGAATTGGAGAGTAGCACAAGACTGCACAAGCAAATAAGAACAACAAAACACTGTACTTTGCTTTTCTCTGTAGAAGCTAAGAAACAAAATAATATTAATACTTTTCTAAGTAATATGAAGAGCATTTGTCTTTAGAAATTGCTCATGTAGGTATTTCTTTTGGATGTGAAGGTGAATCTATCATATATATGGCAGAATTATATATATCTTTGTATTATATTCTTCATATATACCATATACAGCATATATGTACATATATGTATATATGGAGTGGAGAGAGAGAGAGAGAGAGAGAGAGAGAGAGAGAGAGAGAGAGAATGAGAGAATTATATTATCCTAACAACTCCAAGAACAGAGAAAGGAATAGGATTTAGAACCTGCCAGGCATGGTGTTTAATTGTCTTATCCAGCAACTTGGTTTGAACATAAGGAGACAATGGAAATGATATAGGATCACTATTTTCTGTGATGATTACTTCATTCTTGGGGCTGGCTAGATGGTTCAGCTGGTAAAAGTCCCTGAGTAGAGGTTATTGGAACTTGTCCTGGAACTTGCATTGTATACCAGGCTGGACTAGAAATCACTGAGACCCATTTGCTTCTGCCTCACAACTGCTGGGATTAAAGGTGTGTACCACTACAATTGGCCATAAGTTCTGGATGTTTTAAAGTTATTTTCTTGTTTCTGGATTTCCAGTATATGAAAAATGATGTTAAATAAATTTTATCCCTGCCTATTTTCTTCTACAATTAGACAAAATTGTTTTTAGCAACAGGGAATATGACAAAAACCCACAGGAAATAATAATGAGTTCTGAAAGGCATTTTAGTTCTAGATCCACCATTATACCTATGTCTCCAGCACATCTTCTCTTCATTATTGTGACAGAAGTTTGCATTTATATTTGTCTTCTGAAAATTGGGTTATTAAAATTGCCATTATTAAAGAATAGTGTAGAAGCTACATGTTCAATAAATGTGAGATTGATGGATTTAAGTCTATGTTTCATTTCTGTCACACAGTGTACACTGTTGAGAAGTCCATTGTTGATAGTGGCATTAAAATTGTCTTACATGTTGTGAATAGAAAAATTGAAGAAGGCTTAATATGTACTGAGAAAGAGTTACACAAAACTACAAATAATTAGGATAACTAATTTACTTACAACCACATCACTAGTAGATTATTTAGACTGCCCTTGAGTACTTATAAATATTTGTTTTGTCTTTGTATTATTTTCCAATTATCAACTAATTTATAATCAATCAATGCTCTGGGGCAATCTTGCCAAAATAATCATAAATAATGTTAGGGTATTTTTAAGGCATTTGACAACATTCTTTACAATGTCTTTTTGTATGTTTACTTTATATTTATTTAAACTGATTTCAGAATAGTTTATAAATATATGTGAATTATCCATGTGACTATTATGTTTGGAATACTGAGGCAGTGGTTCATCCAACTTCACAGTATGTATTCTGTCTTCAGAACTCTGCCAAACTCTCATCCACTAAAGAAATGACAACATGTTTCTTCACTGTTAACCTACCATGTTGACTTAAGGATAACAGACTGTTCTTCAGCCAAGGACACCTTGCAAAACCAGGCTGTGTTTAGGCTACTTAACAATAAGGCTTGTCTTTGCAGGATTTTACAGGGCATCCTTTGGTAGTGTTTTTTAAGGCTTGACTCAGTTCTGACTTTGTACTTTCTCGTAAGCAAATCAATATTTTCCATTGTGATGATCTCAACAACTCATTATCTATAACCTGCATAACACAGTGCATCACTTACATGACTCATTTGTTCTAGGACTTTTCCACACCTTTCTTCTCGGTGAGCATCACAAGAACGCCTGAATACATCAGTTAGTGGATTTCTAACACAATTTGATCCATTGAATACATTTTGTTTACTGGAAACTAGGCATCACAATGAAACAGGCCTTTAAAATGTGCTACTAAGAGAGATTCTTATTTAGATCTTCAGAATTCAATTCATGTTAGTTTCTCTTTGTTGTAAAATTTTAAATGAACTACAAATAAAGTCTGGCTAATTGATTCCTGATTTCATAATTCTCCCCTCTTTCTTTTCATTTTCTTTTCTTTTCCTTTTTCTATATTTTTATTAGTTTGATTTTTGACTATAACTGTGACTCTCAGCAAATATGAATTCTGGTGTTGGATGATTAGGTGAACATTTACAAATGACTTTTTGATGCATGAGAGACAATGAATGACCACTTTGTATAATATCATTGCTCTTGATTAACTTCCTAATTTGTAATTCTAAAAATGAAAATTCAACCTTGTCCTTTATTTTATCTTTAGATTTAATGCACCTAAGAGTTATAATTATTAAAGCTACATTCTTTCTTAAGTCTGGCAAAAAAAGCACTGATGTTCCTAAAATGTAGGTGAGGAAAGAGTAGTAATTAGCCACACAGCTGTCTCCTTACAGATCCACAAAGTGATACAGGCCACTTTACAAAGTGATGTGACAATAAAAGCAAAATAAAACAAAAGCCCATTTTGTAACACTTTCTTGTGTGTCTGTGATATTATGTACAACTGCCATGTCTGATGTCATTGAACACTGAATTGGCTATAAGTGATGTTATTAGGGTTGTTAGTATTCAGGCATCTGTACTGGCCTGCCCTTGGGGTTCTGACAGGATACACCTTCAGTTGCAGTCACTAAGAGCACCACCTGTGTACTTTCACTATGCTCTCCTCTTCCCTGTCTCTGTCTCTCTGTCTCTCTGTCTCTCTCTTTCTTTCTCTCTCTGTCTCTCTGTGTGTCTGTTTTTCTCTATCCCCCACATACCCTTTCCTCTCTTGCTGCTCCTGTCCCAGAGTTCAATCTGCCCCCTCTGCTTTCCATTTTTATGATCCCTTTCCATAATAAAAACCCCTCAAGGCATCTTTCTCTCTTGTGCTGCTTTTCTTAAACTACACCAATGGTTTCACTCCCTTATATGTTCATGTATTCGACCATCTTCTGTAGTTTTGTTTCTCTCTTTTTTGGCTGCTTGCTTTTTGGGAAGTCCACCATCCAGTTCCCAAGTAAATACTCATAGAGGCTTATTCTTTCTTATGAATTCCCAGCCTGACTTGCTTCTAGCCAGCTTTCCTTACTTTAAATGGTCCCATCTACCTTTTGCCTCTGGACTTTTTTCCTTTCCTTACTTCTGTATATATTACTTTCACTGTGTAGCTGGGTAGCTGGCCCCTTCTTTTCTTGCTCCTTGATCTCCCTTGCTTTCTGATCCATCTTTTTCTCCTTCTGTTTATTCTCTGCCTGCCAGACCCACATATCCTTTCTTCTGCCTTGCTACTGGCCATTCAGTTCTTTATTAGACCAATCAGGTGTTTTTAGGCAAGCAAAGTAGTACAGCTTCACAGGGTTAAACAAATGCAACATAAAAGATTGTAATGCATCTCTGCATCATATTCCCCATGAAGGGCCTCACCCTCCCTGGAGAGTGGAGGGGAGAATGGGGCAGGGGTTGAGGGGGTTGGTGGGGGGCAGGGGAGGAGGAGAGTGTGAGGGAGCTGGAATTGACATGTGAAGCAAGTTTGTGTTTTTGTGTCTAGTTTAAATTAAAATAAAATAAAATAAAAAACAAAAAAATCACAAATGTTTCACTGCATAAACAACTGTAACATATCTTAAAATAATAGTTCACAATAATCTTCCCAAATGATAGTGAGTTGGGAGGCTATGGAGTGTTTTAGGCATGCCACTGAGGATACAACTGCCTAGACTTTCCATCTAGATCCTTTTGATTACTTATCAGCTTTGTTTGCTACATGTTCTTTTGCTGTGAATTTTACCCCACATTTATCTCTGTGATAAACTGAAACCATGAGGCAAAATACATATTTCCTGCTTTAAGATCATTCTATCACAGTCATTTTGTCCTTGGAATAAGACAAAGAAAAACTAAAAACAAATACATACACTAACAATTTTATTTGGTTACAACTTATAGTTTGAAATAACTGCACTTGGGGGCTACCATGGAATAAACAAAGACATTGGATGGATATTGGTAGGACAGAGTGATCATCATGGCATCTGGTCTTTCTCCAAGCTCAAGTTTGGCCATGATTTTTGAAAATGGAATGGAGATCATGATCACATGGTATTATGATTAATGTTAATTGTCAACTTGACAGGATCTACAATTCCCTAGTAGGCCAACCTTTGGGCATATTTCTGAGGAATATCTATGTTTGGTTAGTTTAACTGAGAAGAGCATTCCTGTAGCTGAGTATCTTTATCAGCTACATTGAGTGAGGTAGGAAACAATACCCTTCCTACCAGGTTGGATCATTCCCTGAGTAGGGATCCAGAACTATATATATGAGATAATAATTCAGCATTAATATGGAGTTCATCCCTTAACTTCCTGATTGTGGGTATGATGGGACTAGCTGCTTTTAAGCTCCTTACACTTTAACTTCCTTGTCTTGATGGAGTCTACCCAGACAACTCTCTCTCCCTTGGTTGTTTTGCCAGAGCATCTCGAACACAACAAGAGGAAATGGAAACTTTGATGTTTAGTATGGGTGGTGAACACAAAAAGAACAGTGTGGTCAGACACCTGAACTTTTCTCAGAGCATCATGCAGATGTCATTTACCAACTTCCTAGCTCTTGTTAACTAAAGAAAATGTCAGATGGATCAAATACACAAACATCAAAATTCTGAGAAACTATGAAAATCAGAGCAAGCCTCGAAATAAGGCATTGAGTTTGGCAAAAACTAAATGGACATCCATTAATCTCAACATTTGAAGGTAAAATGTAAATTTCTGCATACTCCAGTTTATGTGGTTTTATTTTACTTTGTGTAATGTTGCAAATTAGCCTTTAACATTTACTTTCATTATCTCCTTTGTAAAGCTCACATTAGAGAATAAAAATGATAAGTGCCTGATAATTTTCTCATTAACTATGAACCTTTTCAAAAATTTACAATAAAGAGACTTTTTTATTAAAGTATATTTTTGTCTTGGTATGATGGCCCTGATTGGTATGACGTTATTACAAAGCTCAGCTTGTAAATTATATTTTTTAAAAGTTATAAGAAAATTTTCCTTAAAGAAGAAAACAGACTTGATAAAGGGAACTTTTTTACAGACTGAAAAAAAGATGTATCATTTATGAAAATGTCAAAAGGCTAAGTATAGCCAAAACAAGAGAATTTTCCAGGTGCCTGATCAAAATCTCTTCAATTATTAATGGGTTATACAACTTAGAAGGGGCTTTTGAATATATTGTTATATATAAAAATTAGAAATAACTGGCAAAGTGATAAAGAAATAGTTCAGGTGGTAAAAATGTTTGTGTTACACACTCAAGGATTCACAGATCCTGTGTGAAAAAAGCCGAATATGATGGAGGATGCTTTTAATCCCAGCACTAGGTAGGCAGAGATAGGTGCGTTTGGGGACATGTTGAATAGCCAGACTACTTACATGGTGAATGGGAATTCCAGGTAAAGAATGTATATATACATGCATGTACATATGTGTGTATATGTATACATAAATGTATGTATATACACAAAATACATGTATTTTATATTGTATATATATTATATATGTATCACTTGAATATATATATATATATATATATATACACAACAAGATGGATGGTGTCTCAGGGAGTAACTCAAAAGATGTCTTCAGGATTCAGTATAGACACACACATATGTGCTCACTGAAAAGCATCTATTCATATGAACACTTAAATTAACAAGTACCTTGGTGTACAACACTAGGATGAAATCCACTAAATTTATTTTTCAAAATACCCCTTAATAAATAAATGTTCATATATATGTTGTCTGGCAGAACTGAGAGGGCTGCTGAAGGAATTCACTGAAATGGAAATGATATTAAGCCCGAGCATGGAGGCATGGGCTTAAGCAAAGCTCTATCAGCAATAGAAACAATACACAGGAGCCTCCTTCAAAAATAGTTTTCACAAGCTAATGAGTTGATTTAGCATTTTTCCCATGCAGATGTTAATACAAATATCTCAAATGTACTCTGAAAGTGTGGAAGTAGAGGAATTTCCTAGAGTTGAGAAAAATGTATCAGTTGACTTTATTATGATAGAGGGGGAATGAGGAGGGGCAGAGGACCTTTCTTAAAGGCACTCAGAGAAAGAATTGAACTCTCTTAATCTTTAAGAGAAACTCCTTCTGTTAGAAGAACTCAACTCGTTATCCTTACATGCTCCTGTCAGAGGAGATCTCCTGTGGTCAGGTTTTCATGTTCCCAGAGGTGTAAACATTCCCTCTAGTCTAGCCTTCGAGGAAGTGGGACTAATCTTATTGGAGCATGTGCAGAAGCTGTGTCTAGTGCCATGCACATCGTCTTTGAATGGGCATCTTGCTTTACTGTTTGTTTATTTGTTTACTTTATGTCGGTAGTTCCCACTTGGAGAGCTGGTTTCCCTCTCCCATTAAACTGGCCACTAAAGAGTTAACTACATCCACCTCTACCTGAAAAGGAGTCCCCTCTATGCAAAATGCCAAACACAAGTTTTATTCAGAAACCCCACTGCACTTCTGCTTTGATTTCTTCTTTTCTCAGCCCCTTACACAATCTCAATTTCTATGAGTACTATTTGAACACTCAATTTTCTGAGATTGTTTTAGACTGACAATCTCATTTCCCAGACTCTGTTTCTTAATTGAAGTCCTTGAAACCTTATTTTACTTCTTCTCAGAGTGTAGGTAACTGTTCTAGGAAGACTTTGATAATTACACTGAGCCATTACAACTCTGAGGTACTTCTGTATACTAACGGACAGAACCCCCGAGACTCACAGTGTGTGAGAAAACTGTGTTTATATGTTGCTTTACGTAAGAGGTTAAATACAGTGCCCTGTTCTGTACCTAGCTTTGGGTTTCTATGTACTCATCTGATCATGAAATAGTCAATCTATGGTGTTAGCTTCAGACTCTCTAAAACTATTTCCTTCCTCCCTCTTTTCCTCCTTGTGATAGTTTTCTTGAACCCGATTAAACAAGACACACATCACAGAAGCTGGCGGAAGCTGCTTCTTAAAAGGATTAATTGAGGCGTGGAAGCCTTTTCCATCAGGTGGCTGAATTATAAAAATGCCTGAGGCAAAACCAGTGCTTTGCCGGGCAGCCTTTGCTCTGTCTTGGTGAGGCTGCAGCTACTACTGCCACTCCAATCCCTTTCTGACGTTGGATATCAGCTTCTATGCCTTCAAAGCTCCAGACCCACAGCTCTGTAGGAATCTTCAAGACCTTCCTAGTCAGTTCCGAAGTCCTGAAACACCTACCATTGTAGATTAAGCAGCCAAGAGGTTCTTAAGCTCTCTAGCACGCAGCCAGTCATTGTTATAGTACCCAACCTACATTGTGGAAGTCATTCTAATAAATCCCCTTTGTAATATACACTTATTCTATCAGTTCCGTTTCCCCCAGAGAACCATGACTAATTAACTTCAGTGTCTTTCTTCTTTCTACACATCCCTCAGTGGATTTCTTCTACTTAGCTTCAAACACATGGTCTTACCACATATTTCATCACTCTCCTTCCTGCTGTTACAACAATGCTTCTAGCAACTATTACTCATTGCCACCTGTCATGAGGCACACATACGTAGTTTAGGAATCACAATCACCCTCATTCTCCCCAACTATTAGCCTATTGTTTTTCTTCTTTGTTTTTCCAGGGTTTTCTTTTCTTTCTGAACTTGTCACTCATTCTTCATGTATCATTATGCTATTCCAGGGTTTTATGCAAATAAAATAAGATTTATCAATTAGGAAATTAATCTCTGTGGATTGCTGCTCTCTGCAATTTTTAAAATAAAACAGTTTTAATGTGCAAACCTGGGACAGATTATTTCATTGGAAATAATCTTCCACAAGATTTGAAAACTATACAGAGTGATTAGTACCAAAAGCTGCTAATGTTTGGAGGACATTTGAAGCAGAGAACACAAAGATATTTGCTGAAAGTGTTTTTAGGCCATGTGTGCTAACAAGGCAATAGTAAAATGAAAAGCTCACATTGGTTGAAGACATACAAGGCAGGATGGTACAAAAAATGACAAGGCATGTTTCTGGATAGCACAGCAGTTCCCCTTCTAATTTTTGGAAAAGAACTTTTGTGTTATCCCCCCCCCCCCAATGGCTGTACTAATTGAGAGCACATATCAGCACAGTTGATCTTTAAACTACTTTTTTTGTTTTGTTTTGTTTTGTTTTTCGAGACAGGGTTTCTCTGTATTGTCTTGGAGGCTGTGCTGGAACTTGCTTTGTAGACCAGGCTGGCCTCTAATTCACAGAGATCCACCTGCCTCTGCCTTCCGAGTGCTGGGATTAAAGGCGTGTGCCACCAACGCCCGGCTATATTTAAACTACTTGATAATCTGGCCATTCTGACACTGATAATCTGGGGTGGCATGATTTTGCATTGTGGTTTTAACTTGAACTTACCTGATAATCAGTGGTGTTGAACAATTTCACATATACCTGTTGGCCATTGAAACTTTTCTTTCTAGAGCTGTCAGTATAACTAGTGACCATTTTCTAAACTGGCATGGTTTCTGCTATTTAGTTTTCACAGTCTCTTTTGTCAGATACATATTAAAGTTCTTTTGTGTCCTTATTCTATTTAATATTATATATATATATACATATATATAAAGTGGCAATGCTGTCAAACTGCCTACTAAACATTTGTTTATACCTCTAGGACAAGGCAGCTCTCAAGAGTGAGCAGGAAAACTTCTTTTAATAGCGAGCCACAGTAAGTGCAAAGACTCATAACTGATCAAAGAGATAAGAATAAGAATAAGGGGACTTCAAAGAGGAGGACACAGAAAGGATGTAACAGCCAGATATGTGGCACACTGTGCAAAGGTGTCTTCTGGACATGATGTAGCTATTGTATACATAAACTCACTGTAGTTGTGATTACCCACACAAAACCTGCATAAGATCATACCAGGCAAGACTCCTGCTGGGTAGGGAAGGAACTCAGGGGGCTCAAACCCTAGCTGAGGAGATACTGGCTGGGGGAGGGAGAATCATTCTTCTTTGTGGGCCTGGCCTTAGGTAGAGTGCTCAAGCTCCAACAGATGTCCTCACACCGGTGTACTTATGAGTAGCACTAAATGAACTTAGTGAGTGACACATAAAATAAAAGATGGAAAAGAGGACATGAAGCGGGATGGAGCCATGTGGGGGGAGATCTGTGGAAAGATGGAGGTGGAAATGATCAAAATTAATTACCTATATGTGAAATTCCTCAAGAATAAAAAGAAATCGCTGCTAAAAGGCTAATGATTCATTTAAATTATAAAAATGGCCAACCTCAGTTATGGTGGGCATTTCGGGTTACCATTTTCCAAGATGCATATGAAAGCTTTAGATTTGAATTTTGAAAAGAATGAAGGGCCCACTTGAGTCAGTCACACAGCAGCAGTGCCCTTATCATAATGCAGGCAAGAATGGGAGTAAGAACTCTTTATCATCTTGGTGATGAGTAAGTGATTCATTTTTTTTATTAAGAAAGCACTGTATGCAATTTAATGGTTTAAAATTACAAGTGCTCTTGAAAATAAACAATCTGATAAAATTAATATTCATTCACTGCAAGATAAAGTAATATACTAATTTGACGAGGGTAAAATTCTCTAATAAAGCAACTCATAATACAATTGTCTTTGCCAGATTAGCACTTTATGAGCCCTCAAGAAAGAAATCTAATGAATAAATGTATTATCATTTTCTGTTTGGATAATGAGCAATGAACCTCTCAGATAACTGCATCCTTGTCAGTTTCATAATATCTATGAATATAAAACTGCCTCAGATAGAAACTATTTTACAAAACACTAAGTTATTTTTACAGCGATGCTGTTACCATACTAGTTGGAGACAAGAACCTGGGAGAGCAGAGCCTAACAATGAGAGGGACCAGTCTCATGTAATAGCCTGCTTTATTCAGAGCATCAGAGAATTCATATACTGAAGGTATTCTCAGGGTAAAGCAAGGTCAAATGTGCAAAGTTCACATGAGTTTAGATTATATAAGGTTATGAGGGCAACCTGTGCTTGGAGAGATTTTTGAATAACAAATGTAAGGTGATGGAAAATCTAAAGCAAAATTCATGTCATTCTGGATGGACATGAAAGCACATTCCAAGATAAATTCATGTTATAAGGAACAGAGGTTACAATACTCTTGCTTACTTGGAGTTTTCTCACAAACTCTCAGAAATCTCATATAGCTTCGTTTATGGACCATCTTCCAACACAATAAAATGTTATTCTTTTAATTAAAAGGTAAATATATTTCACATTTCTTCCATATAAGGGTAACTTTCTTTGAGTTGTATTTCATCTAACTATAAAAGCTAAAGGAATATCATGATTTTCTTTATATCTTAAATTACACTAATATGAATAATTTAACTTTGCATTTCATTATGAGATAAATTCATTTATTGACTGAAAATAAAAAAATATTTTTATTGACTTGGGCTAATAGTTCTTTGTAGAAACAGAGAGATGAACAAAATAATAGTTTATGGGACTGATCCAGACTCCCTGAATGTGGGTGTCAGTGAGGAGACTCAGGCAATCCACGGGGTTTTGGGGTAGTAGATCAATATTTATCCCTGGCACACAAATGGAATTTGGGGACCCATCCCACAATGAGGGATGCTTTCTCAATTTGGACACTTTGGAGAGGGCCTGGGCCCTCCCCTGAACGAAATGACAGACTCTAGAGATACCCCCTGGAGGGTCTTACCCTCCCTGGGGAATGGAATGGGGATTGGGTGGGGGGCTGGGGAGCCGAGGGGTGGGAGTGAGCATGGAGGGGAGGGAGAGGGAGCTGGGACTGATATGGGAAGCAAGCTTGTTTCTAATTTAAATGTATAATAAAAAGTGTAAAAAATAGTTTATATTATCATAAGCATATTTTCATTTTTATGTTAATGTAAATTCATATGAAAACTACCAAATTCTGTAAGATAGAAGAATGCACAAAATGTTACATACCCCTTAAATATAATGCTAAATAAATGCAACTCCAAAGGGACATGTCACTGTAAAATTAAGAAAGGTATTTTCAAACTATGTCTTCCTATTAACTAAGCAGAAAGACATTAAGATAAATATAGACAAATCTAGAGAAAAATCATGTAATATCAAAGTAAATTCACCTATAATAGCTGATGGATTAGAGAAATTTTTTTACACAAATTGCAAATGTCAAATGATAAGAAAATCTTAAAATTAATATAATATATATATATATGTGGCAGAATTCTTTTACAAATTGTCACTGAGGAGGAAGAATGCCTGAAGGTCACCTTTAAAATGCCACTTGAAAGCCAATGTTCATTGATTATCTGGTACTATTAAAATTAAATTAAACATTATTTGGTCATCATAGGAAAACTAAGTTAGAATTAATGGTGTTTACAATGGGATTGACATTTCTTTTTTTAATTTTTTAAAATTTAAATTAAAAACGATCTTATTTAACATACCAATCCCGCTTTCCTCTCTCTCCTCTTCTCCCACTCCTTCACCATCTATCCACTTCTCAATCAGTGTGAACCCTCCCATAGGGGATCATCAAAGTCTGTCATATTATTTAGGGCAGGACTGAGGCCCTCTCCCTTGTAGCTAGGTTGAGCAAGGTATTCTTCCATAGGGAATGGGCTACAGAAAGCCAGTTCATGCACTAGGGATAAATAATGGTTCCACTGCCAGTGGCCCCATAGATTCCCCAAGCCCTCCCAGCTGACACCCATGTTCAGGTATCCTAGTTCAGTCTTAGGCAGGTTCCCCAGATATCAGTCTTGAGGATGTGAGCTCCTACTTACTCAGGTCTGCTGCTTCTGTCGGTTTCCCCAGCATGGTCTTGACCTCTTTGCTCATCACTCCTCCCTCTCTATAACTGGATTCCAGGAATTCAGCCCAGTGCTTAGCTGTGGATCTCTGCTTCTGCTTCCATCAGCTACTGTTGTCCCACAAGCAACTTGTTACTAGTGACAGTGACAGACACTCAAACTCTAAGTAACTGAATACATTTGAATGCTTCTTCTTCAAATAATAATGCCTCAAAGTATTAACATTAGCATTGATTTAAATATTATATAGAAGAACTTTATGTAATAAATTAAAGGTTACTTTGGTCAATAGTAATAATTAAAGCATTTTTAAAAGTCTCTAATGTAACCTTAGAAATAAGGAAAGTTGCTTGTGAGACAACAGAAGCATTTAAAAATAAAACTGGACACTACTATTTTGATTTTCAAGATTGGTACTTACTTTGGGCCATATTATAGTTTAAATTTTTAACACTGCTTCATTTCATTTTATTTCTAATATATGCTATCACTGTTTTTGTTTTAGAAATAGGGTTGTTAAAACCAATATTCATAAAACAATTACTTATATTTTAAGTAAAAAGTAATATTATTTAATGAATATTACTCTTTTTACTACCATAGGCTAACATGTATTTTAGTAGCACACTTTATAGACTACATCTAGATGATATGTTCCATATATCTGAATGATGTACTCTAATTTTATTAGGAATGCTGCAATACATTACCTCACCAAAAATGCATCTCAAAGTCCTTCATCCATTTTGCAATCAAAATAATTTATCACATGCTGCTTTATATCCACTTTTTCTAACTAAAACTATACTATTGCAAATTTCATTTTAATCATCTTGAAAAATGTGTTACTAACTTGTTACTAACTTTGCCCAAAAGTAAAACCACAGTCACCATGTTGACTCATCTAAACAAAATGAAATATATACATAATGCTAGCTCATTAACTTAAGCTAGTAGAAATACATCTTTATCATTCCTAGAAATGTGATAGAATAAGAATAACATACGATAAGAGAATAAGTATGAAAAGCCACAGGAAAGTGGAGCTAAGGTAACTTTATGTAGAGTAACAAAGCCCTGTTACACTTTCCTACCAACTTCATGTTATTTATTGTTCTGTTATCCAAATTTTCTCTTTTCTAACAAAGTTTCTTTAGTCTACAAATTTTATTATGCTATACAGAAGATTTATGAGTACAATGGTCTTAGTCCCACACCCAGGTTAAAAATTTTATATGATTTCTAAAGACAACTTGATAGATAGAAAGATAGATATGGATAGGTGCAAAATATGTTGTGTATTTTTCCATGTTATAAAAAAAGATACAATGTGCTCTTTCCCTAGAATATTTACATTTTTCACAGTTAGTAACATGGCTATCTTTTCATCTAAAAACTTGCTTGTAGTTTTTATTTTTCATTTTTTGGGTTTGTTGTCCTCTATTTTACTTTATGCCACAGATTTTCAATTTAATTAGCATTCATAATCCTTGACATTAGTTACAGTTCATTGGATTTTTGTTTGTTGTTATTTTCATATTTGCATAAGAATTTACAATTAAATTAATTGTTCAATAGTCTAATTTCGGGTACTGTTAGATCTCTCCTTTCAAAGTATATGTACTTCAAAGTAGTGTAAACCCATTTCTCCACTTAATTCTCCTTGATGTAATGTTTGATATATGTAATAAATTCATGCTCATCACTCAAATTATTGAAATCATTTAGCAACTTTCAATATTTTGATAAGCAAAAATTATTTCAATAACTTTTCCATAGATTGAAATAGAATGTTGGGTGAATTTAATTTTTTGAGTGTTTTTACACATGTAATCTACAATATGAGACAGCAAAAAATTATAGACGAAATCTATAATTG